AGCCAGAAAGTCGTCCCTGTGGCTAGGCTGCCAGCCCAGGAATTGAGAGATACTGTGCAGCTCCTTCACGCTGCTTGCCTTTACCATTTCCCATCCATTTCCTTTTAGACCAAGTCAGCCTTCTGAAACAGAAAGAGCTCTGTTAAAATATGCCTTTTTCCATTAAATTCATAAAAGTCCTTCCCATTTGTATCTGGTTGACTGGAAGTGGCTCTTCTGTCAGATGGCAGAAGCTCAGGAAGGTGAGTGCACTGGCCCTGGCTTCCCCACTTCTCACCTCGAAGAGAAATAATCAGCTCAACTATTACTGCTACTCAATGGCTCTGCTAAAGGCCCGAGATGTGTAAGCATTCCCCAAAGGTTTCTTTTGGACAAAGACACTGGAACTGTGAGTGTGAGGAAAGCTGCTCTGCATCAGCCTACCGTGAGGCTGAGAGATCCTTAAGAAGCCACATCTGGGCTCTCAACCTCAACAGCAAGTGGTGGCTTTGGAAAAGTCGTGACAGAAGCGCTTGAGGGAGGGCCACCATGCAGAGGGGCTCCCCTACAGAGCCCAGCACCAGAATTTGCTGCTGAACTGACTTCAACCAGGGGGAAAACTCTACAGTACCAACAGGCCCCACGCATTCGTTTTCTTCCTGATGCTCCTCGACTGCTGCCACAATCCAAACAAACACCAAAAAGGGGAAACGACCTGGGCGGGAGAACCCTGCCTCGCAGGGACAGGCACACACTCCCCATGTCTGAACACACATTTCACTGTGTATACAAAACCGAGAGCCTCAGTGGCCTAAAATAGAACCTAAAGCACGCATGTGACCTGTAAAAGCAGCCAACAAAATCAGTTTTTCAGCCCATTCCCGGGCACACAACAAAGTCAAGTCTGTGGGACACGGTGCGACATAAATTAACGCTAACCCGTGCAACCTCTGCTTCACAAGTCATAAATCTGAAGTGGAAGCTCTCTCTCTTTTCTTCTTGGTAAGCATTTCACTTCTGTGGCCGTCGGATGCAATTCGAGGCCTGGCTGCCATCGACTCAGCTTGGGATTTGGGCAGTAGGGGGAGGAAACCAATCCTTTTTTTCATCGCGTTAAATTAAACTATAAACTACACCTTTTAATTCCTTCTAATTAAATTTCTCGCTGGAAAACGGATATGTTATTTCTTTCGTATTTTCTCACCAAACAGGGCAGGAAATGTGTTAGAAGAGGAGTGCCTTGGCCAGGTGGGCAGCTCTCTGGGCACCGTGGGGGGCTTCCTGAGAGCTGGAGATCGCTCCATGTCCAGCAGCAACCCAATCCACTAGGAATACTAGATGCACTCACCTTCGCACTTGCTGAGGAGAAATAAAAGCACTGATTCTTTCTAATTTTTGCAGTGAAGCTGCTTAGGAGCTAATTTTCAATTAGCTTTCAGTGGGCTGCATCCCCTCAATCACTTACAGGTTGGCTGATTTCACAAATGCCAGGCTTTGCTCTACAGACACGGGATACCAGAGCTTTGCAATTCTAATGCATTTAAAAGTAATTGGCATTTTTCCCTCTTATGTTTCAAGATATGCTCAAGGGAAGTAAGCCAAGAGGCAAGAGAGCATCTTTGAGGCCTCACAACTGTTCTGACTTCATGGAGGAAGAAATCCTATACAGCAAATTGCAGCAAGGAGACAGCTGAAAGAAAGAGCATGCTATGGAGGAAGCAACAACGTGTCCCTCTCTCAGTCCTCCCGGCTTAGCAAGCACTCTGTGCCAAAAGGAGTTTCCATCTGGTCTTCAGATCTGCAGCATGGCAACACAGCACTGCTGAGCCAAACCAGAGGTAGCTATAGCAAGATCAGGCAAGCAGGTCAATGGAGAAAAACCCAAATCTGACTCAGGGATGTGTGCTCCACAGCTCCATTGGAGATGGGGTATCCTACATTACACACAAGTGAGCAGAAATTCCAGACTTCCAAGCTGAATAACAACACTGCTGGTGTTCCTTTTTCCCAGGTTGGTGAGGATAATGAGACGTGAGCAATGGTAGCACTGTCTTCCTGAATCAGCAGGCAGCCTGAAGTTCACATTTGGAAACAGTCAAACCACTGAGCATTTACCACAAAGCCTGAAACACAAGCATTTGAGTGCCAGATCTGGCAAGAGCCATTCATTTGCAAAACTTAATTACACATCTGTGTACTTCCAAGCAGGACAGTATGCCAGCAGAGCCAAAACTAGACTGAAATTCTGCCACTGATCAAGCAGGTTGAGTTAGAGAAACTGCACTTGGAAAGTGCCAATGAGGACTGACATTTTTGGGGGAAAAGGAGCATGCAAAGTCTGCTATCCAGAGCATCTACCTTCATGCTGGGTGAGAAACCACAGGGCCTTTAGTGGATGGAAGAGGTGTTCCTGTAGCTAAAGTGCAGAGTTTAAGACTGAAGGACTCCTAGTTCATGAGTGAGACAAATCACATGTAAGTTCTGACACCAATAACCCCACCTGCAGTGCACTATAAACACGGAGTGGATCCAGAGGAGGGCCATGAGGATGATGAGAGGGCTAAAGCATCTCTGCTGTGGAGACAGGCTGAGGGAGCTGGGCTTGTTGTTCAGCCAAGAGAAGACCTCACTGCAGCCTTCCAGTAGGGTCCAGCTAACAGCTGAACCTTTCTGGCTGAGAAACACTTCCCAATCCTAAAAACCGGAAGGGTTGGCAGCCACCTCCTGACCCACACAAGAGAGAGGAATGTTAGGCATGTCATGAAGTACAAGTCCTGCTTCCCAGACCTGTCAGGCTCCATTAGCTCTAAAGGGGCCTAACAGTGTAGGGGTTTTTTAAATCCCAAACCACTGCACTAGCAAAGTCTCCCTTGCTAATGAACCACCCACAGTTGAAAAGCAAGCTCAAGGCATAGGCAGTGTAGCATGTGCAAGAATCACAAGCAGCTATGCAGACACATATCCATATCTATTCTCACATTGTCTCCCTTCCCCTTCACGAAGCACAGATGTTTATTTGAGCTACAAAGCCCAAAGCACAGACCTCAGAACTGGAAGTCATCAGTGGTCAAGAAACTCTCCACGTCAAGACTGCGTGGGGCTGGACACAGCCTCGTCACACCACTGCAGTCCCAGCACTGCTAAGGCAATGTTTATCCTGCATGGAGAAACTGCATCACCAGTCCTGAGCCCTGGGGTTTGTGTGGGCATCATGAACACCTTTGGCTGTGATCAGACCTGAAAGACAGCGGACAGGCTCCAAACTTGGGTGATAATCAATGCACAGTTGCTGGAGGTGGCAACAAAAAGCTCCCAGCAGGAGTCTTGCTCTTCTGGCCTCTACATAGAATAGGATCACAGAATCCTTAGAGTTGGAAGGGACCTTTGAGGACTATCCAGTCCATCTCCCCTGCAGTGCACAAGGACACCACAGCCAGATCAGGGTGCCCAGGGCCTGATCCAGCCTCGCCTTGAAAGTCTCCAGGGGCAGGGCATCAACCACAACACTGGGCAATCTGTTCCAGTTACATCTAACCTCAATCTCCTCTCTCTCAAACCATTTCCCCTTGTTCTATCACCACAGACCCCACTAAAGAGTCTGTCTCCTTTTTCACTGTAGAGATACTGCTTCACCAAATTAAAAATTGAGATGGCAATTCAAAAGCATAGAGCACAGCGCTGTGTACTGTTCAGAAAGGGACAGACACTTCACATACTCTCTCACAGTTTCCTGCTTGCTCTCCAATCTGACCAAAACCTCATGCAGCAAAGCATCCTGCCCTTACAGTGACCAAAGCTAGGATGCAACTCCTAGGTGCAGTATGCTGTTGATTACTTTGAGCTTAGAAAATGAGTCACTTTTCATCACCAAAGCACTGAATTCCTGTCACAGTCCAAGTTCTGGGGCAGACTACCACTAGGTGTAACCACAGGTGATTACCTAGGAAGGAAAATAAAATCTTCCCCACTAACTTACTTAAACAAACACGTAAAACCCTTTAAAACATTCATATTTGAGTATTAAATACTCACATTATTTGGTGGTTATCCTTTTGGTAGATTTTTTTGAGGCCCAGATATCAATAAGAAAGGAAAAAAAACAACCCAGAACTAGTTTTGCCAACAAAAGAAGGAAAAAGAGGACACTGCCACTTCATACATGATCCAAACAACATGGGAGTGGATGTACTCACACACTGTAAAAATCTTAAGGGAACAGCCTTGCAGGGGACCAAAGCATTCTGTGCTCAGGGCAGTGTCATATAGTTGTGTCTATGCTAACACACTTTGCAGATTTAGGAATAAGGAAAAACTACAAACAAGAGGTCATTAGGAAAACAGTACAGACACCTGCAGTTAAACAAAAAAAAAAAACAAAACAGAGGAATTATTATTCACGTACAAAAAGTTGCAGGAACATGCATTTGGGAGGAAACAGGTACTTAAATTAATCCTTTCCAAATGAACGCACACAATAAAAATGGCATTAACACCTGTGCAGATAAAGTACTTCTGCTCCCTGACACGGTGATGCTTGTATTGCATTTTCAGTCCTTCCTAATAAGATTCCTGATAGCTCTGAAAACACGACATCATCTCTGTAACGATGCAAGGAACTGCAAGTGACACAAGGCTTTATCTCTTGGTCTTGTGGCATCCTTTTGTAGCTTACTTTGCAAGATTCAGGAATCCCCTGACCTGCTCACGACAGCATGTTGAAAAGTAACCTCAGTGGACACGAAGGGAGGAAGGAGATGCATAGAGAACTGGCTCAGAAACAGTGCTCAACAGGCCATGGAGGGAAAGAGGGGCAGTGAAAACCTGGCAAGTGAGTAACAGCAGTTCACATTTAAACAAACAAGTTATTTTAATAGCTCTGCACCTTGAGCATTCAAATGGACATAATTTTATCCACAGTAATATCAACACCTAAAGATCAATGGTATTTTATATAACTCTTAGGCTCCCAGTCCCTAGCCACTTTACATCCCAACAAGGCATATCTTCACTTTTCTCCACTATTTGGTAAGAATTTTTATTTGGTAGGAATATCAGTCTATCAGTCCCAAGGCTTTTTTTTGTCCCTCCCTTCTTCACCTTCTTGAAGACAGGTTTATGCTAAGTACCATCCTCCGGATTTTGTCCTCATTCTTTAAAACATTAGCTTTAACAGCACGAATCTTGTCTTGCTGATCTTCAATCAGCTGGTCCAGCTCAGCCAGTTCAGCTTTTAGTGGTTCTACAGCACTGTCCGTGATGCTGAAAGAGACACAAAGTGTTGTGTTATCGGAAACATGATGCTGCTTCAGGTTTCTTAAGCCTCCAAGAACGTGCATTCAATACTTAAAAGTTTGCATAGAATTTGAGCTGTGCTCACCCCTCCTGAAAGAATGTTTAGGATGGGAAGCACAAAGACAAAGCTAACACCACAGAGAAGAACACTGTTCAGGAAAAAACACCCCACAGTTCAACAGCAAACAATAATCTCTTGTCTAACCAAGCTTTTCTGTTAAAATCTCTGTGCTATGCAGTTATTCTGCTCCACCATGAGTGTGTGTCAAGCACTTCTTTTACTTACCAGCCAAGAGCTGCAAGTGCCTGGCTCAGGGACAAAGTGGGACTTGGTTGTGTAGGACAGAGCATAAGAACAACACCCACTTTTTACTGGGGCTCCTGTATCTTACCATGATGCACATGGCAAAGCCATCCCTCCAGGCCTCGCAACAGGCTTCAAAGGAGAGAGAGGCACATTGCAGAGGAACAAATACAATTGCTGTGGGGGCTGATGGCCTGATACCAGCTATTTCCTACAATGAGCCGGCAGCACAGCACTGCCTGCCAGCAGCACCAAGCTGCAGCAAGTAGACATCTAAGAGGTAAGGTACAAGAAAACTGGCCCCTCAATAACTGCTGGCAAGGGCAGGCAATCCCACAAGAACAGGAAATGTAATAAACAGGAACTAGATGCTAATAACACCACTAGCACATTGATATATCTGAAGGGAATGGGACTGTTTGGCTCTAAAACCAGCGTGCCCCTTTCCATAATGCTTAGCAGCCAGGGAGCTGATGGACAGAACTAGCCTGCTGCCATTCTGAATTACCCAGTCACTGTGAGGACTCACCAGCTAAAGTCTGCATCTCATAATTATTTAGATTTCTCCTCCTTTCTACACCACTGGCATAAATCACAAAAAATATCACTAGAAATTCTAACATTTCCCTAATGGGATCCTTCAATTGTCTTTCACAGAAGCAAAAAAAAAAAAAACAAACCAAACAACAAAAACACAAAAATGCATCCAAATTCCACTACATATGGGAAGCATTCCCTTCTTCATGTCAGATACTGTGTAATTCTTCCCTGAAGGCTCTGACAAGCCGTAGCACTACACTGATCTGATGAGGATCTCACAGCAATCCCTGCTAAGTGCTGTAATATGTTGCAGCAGTGAAAGGGAGCTGAGTGGCTCTGCTGGAGTGATGCTGGTTTGCTCCCTGTGCCTGGGGAAAGGCAAGCAGATCAGTGCCTCAGTTTCTCCAGCTGTAAAATAAAGCCCAGTGCCATTTCCTTTCTCTTTGCAGAGGTACTGCATTCTAAGCCCAACCACAGTTTAAGAAGGTGCTATGTAAGTGCAAGGAATTAACATCATTAAGCTTTATATGTGAACCCAAATCCTAATTCCTACCCCAGCCCCACTAAGCCAGCAGCTGTAAAACTTCCAACAATTAACACACTGCTACCTACCCAGATAAAACTCAGCTAAAAATACCACTCAGTGGCATACTTGCTTCTGCAGGAATTAAATTCATGGAGCAGCAAAGTTACCTACATTGGAATCCATGAAGATAAAAATCAATCTTCAGTATCTGAGATCACTTTTAAGATCAGATTACATGGCATTGGGATGGTACTTCTGTTTGCAAGGAGAATAAAAAGACATACTAGTGAGGCAAGTAAGGCTGAAGCATCCCTTCCTTGGCTTGACCTCCATGGGGATATTACCTTCATTCTCCTGGCTTTCTGATGTTAGTTTCAAACCATGCACAGACAACAGCTGTTACTGACACTGCTGCAGAACACACATATTTCAGTGGCACAAAGAAAGCAGTTTGTGATTTAGGAACTCAGATCCTACCAGGACTACCAACCTGTTCCTCCCCATTGCTCCACATGTATTCGTGATAAGAAAAAATAAAGCAGAACGTTAAACCTTCCCATCTCATCTCAACATGTGCATAGCTGCTGCCGTGTACATCGCATGACATGAGCTGGAAAGATTTTAACACTTCAAAAAACAATTCTGACTGCAAAGAAAATTCCCCGAAGCACAGCAGAGACTGATGCTAAATTTGCATTTTGTAGTGAATGAAACTCTCCCCTCTGCTAGAAACAGATCTGTCTCGAGAGATAAAGCAGACTTTCCCTGACCACGCTCACCTCTGCTCTTTCTGCAGAGCTTCTGCATGCTGTCTGTTCTCATGCCGCCACATCTGCAACTCGTTCTTCATGGCATCCATGTCTTCTTGAACGTAGTCCATGATCCTGCCAAGCGTAAAGGCACTGCGGCACAGAGTCTGAATAGAGTCCCGAAACTTCTCCATTTCTTTGGCTACCAACTCTCTCTCTTTCTTCCTCGCTGCTTCTGATACAAAAGGCTTCTCCTGACAGAAAGGATGGATAAGGAGAAAAGCATCAAGACGAGGAAAAACGTTTGTTGTACACAAGGTGTCAAACAAAGAATGCTTTAGACACTGCTAGCCACGAGGAGAAATCTTTACATAGTGTTCACAGTTTGAAATGAAAGGGAGAAGAATGAAGCAACTGTTTAGAATCAGGTGAGCAGAATGAGAATCATATCCAAGCCACCACTGCTAAGGAGAATTGCTACAAAACTACAATAACGTTGGCAATATTCAATTGCTTTTCAGATCAGGAACTCTCCAAATTAAACCCAGTATTTGATTCCATAAATGACCTCATTATCCTGATGTTCTCATCAAGATCTTTCCCAGAGCAGTGGGTGCAAAGGGAGTATTGGAGGGAGACCTCCTACTCGTTCTGCCATGTTTTACTTCAGTGTGTTTCTATATATTGAATGGAAAATGGCTTAACGTGGCACCATTAAACACAACCTCACATAATAATGACACCACTTTTGTTATCAACCTGCTGCTGGCACTGGCTGCCAACTGAGACAGGGAAGGTTTAGGTTGGATATGAGGAGGAAGTTTTTCCCCCAGAGGGTGGTGAGGCACTGGAACAGGTTGCCCAAGGAGGCTGTGGATGCCCCATCCCTGCAGGCATTCAAGGCCAGGCTGGATGTGGCTCTGGGCAGCCTGGGCTGCTGGTTGGTGACCCTGCACATAGCAGGGGTTTGAAACTAGATGAGCATTGTGGGCCTTTTCAACCCAGGCCATTCTATGATTCTATCATCCAATGATTCTATGTCCACCCCATAAATCACACATCCATCTGCCCATCCTCTCCCTGCATGCTCCAGCTGTGTACTCTACGGGGCACAGCTGGACTGCCCCTGCATCACTCCAGTGCCTGGCACAAGGACATTGTGGATTGGTGTTTACTCAATATTGCTGCAAATCCCAACCCACCACACTGAAAAAAGGTCACGTTCAACTCCAGAGGGTAATGATTATAGCCTCTGAACTGAGATTATGGTCTCTGTGAAAAGCTGGAGAAGCAGAAGCATCCCTTCTCATGATGTTCTGCACCAAAAGCATCCATCGGAGCTGCTCAACACAAAATTTTGCTGCTGCCTGGGAGCTGCACCGGATGCTCCATAGCCACCTTCCAGTGCAGTTCTCCAAATCGCTCCCTTTGAGATACTCCTCTCTCACCTCTGGCTGTATCTGAAGTCTCTGCTCCTAATGCTGGCCCTAGTCACAGCATTTCACGCCACACAGCTAAAATAAATGGCAGTTACTCCATACCTTGAATTTAACAGTATTTGTAAAACCACGCAGGCTGCAGGTGTGCCCTCAGTCAACTGCACTACTCAAAACTAATCTGGTCCTGTGCACACTTCCCTCATGTGCAGCCTGCAGACCCTGTGCTCAGCTTACTGAAGCCTCCCAGCTTACTGCAAGTTTAACACAGGGAAAGTGCATGCTAAAACAGCAAAGTCACCAAGAGCAAAATGATGCCATAAACAGAGCCAAATGACCACATTACTAACACTTCCTAATGACTTTATTCCAGCAAAGGCCTTCCTGGAAACAATAACTGCCATTAAAGAGAAGCCCGCTGTTTCTTCTCCCCCAGGTAAAACAAGCAGATTTTTCTTTCTTTCCAAGAGACCTGAATGTCTAATTCCCAACCTGAGTTTTCTTTCAGACACACAAAGCTGTACATTAAGTTTACTTCAAGTCATTTCAGTCATCTAACTTGTGCCAGAAAACTAGAAGGGTCTTTCTTTCACCCCAACCATAGGATAACCACCTTCTAAGCACAGTTCCTAGCAGCTCTATAAGCACAGAGCTGACAGCATGCTTGTGCCTTGCTAGGACACCATGCCTACCATGCTGTCCCTTACTGCCCTCCTACCTAACTGCCTGCCTTCCTGTGTGAGCTGCAGGCTGTTTGTTCAGCTGTGTTTGGAGGCAGCAGGGACCACTGCCAAACACATTTCAGCAGCCCTCTGCTTACTGATGAACTCAGATATATATTATTCTAGAAAAATACTTCTAAAGATTTGAAGGCTGAGATTTACTTGCGTCTGATGCTTGCGTTTTACCACACACGCAGCACATGGAAACTGCAGGGCTTCTGAGTTTACTGTGATTTTATAATGTTGAAGTTGTTTAATAAGGAACTGGCCTGAAGTGACAACTGCTGGTGAACTCGTGGCCTTTGCTTCCTAAGTCAATTCGTGAGTGCTGGCTAAGCTGTTAAAAATAACACTCATCTTAATTCCTTCTCACTCGACCCGTGCCTCTCTCACAGAAGCAGGTGTTTCATTATGCTGCATTACATAAAACTCGTTGTTCTGTCACTTCCCACAGCCATCCGTGTGCTTGCTGTCCCTCACAGCACACAGATGAAAGCACTGGTTTTTGACTCATTTAATGCTGAGAGCTGGTGAGCACCCACCTTCAGAGCACAGCCACGCAGGGTTGAGGGGATATTTCAGTCTCTTCCTTAGCAAACCTCTAAACACAACACCAACAGCATCCCAGTTGGCTCTGTCAGACTCCTTTTCCTTTATGCCTTGTCCCTGAAGGCACAGATCACAGGGCACCTTTCCTTGGGCAGGGTGTACATTGAACACTGGTAAGACTTTCTTTCCTGGAAATATTTTGTTTCCTCCTTACCTTGTAACAGTATATGGAATGGATCTGCACCCTCACACACTGCACGCTCTCTATTGTAGCTCATTTTTTCCAGACAAGTTCTTGCTACACGTGCTTCCCCAAAGCCACAGAGAAGGCTGAGTCTATGGGACCCTATTTTCCACATCAAACCGGGAGGTTATCTATAAAGAAAACTGGAGCTGGAACAACCCAAGCCCACCAAAAAAACCCCACCTTCAGTTCAAAAGCATGGCAGAGCTGTTTGTTATTCAAGAGCTTCCTAGGAAGAAGTTCTGCTGCCCTGTTTTCCACCCTATGTGCAACAAACCTTCCCTCTTTCCTTCCCCTGTTCCTAAGCAGTTTCAAGTGTCCAAATACACAAGTGCTAGAAGTCTATTAAATACTATTCAGTCTTTAGAAGGCACATCAGCAGGGTGGTTAGAAAACTCTGCAACTCTGAGACACAAAACCACACGATACAAGCGATGTAGGAACACACAAAAGTATTTTGGTGTGTCCTCCTTTCAAGGAAGAGCACTTAACCTCCAAGCTCCCAAAAACCTCCCCAACACCTGAGGGCACAGTAACTCACCTGGCATACCACCATTAGCTTGAGGAGGGACAGATGATGATCAATCCTTTCTTTCTTTTCACACTACACTTGGCGCAGCCTACAGACAGCTGAAGTACTCAAGCTGCACCAGATATCACTGATTAAAGGCAGTTAGGGGGGGGAAAAATCAAGCTCCGTGCTGTCTGTTCTGTTTAATAGTTACAGTTATGGGTTAAAATCTGCACAGGTCACCCCTGAAATTACTAAGAATTATGGCAGATGGTTTATTACAACAAGCAACGTGGGTGGTTGGAGTCCTGAATGCCACCTTTGCTCATTCTGCACAAACACGTAACAGGATATATTCAGCTTTAAGAAAAATGCCAGAATCAGAATTGTTCCAGCCTATTTAATTAGGTCACACACCTCAATGAACTCTCCTTTCACAAAAGCCCAAGAATCAATAAATTATCTCCGTGTAAAAAGACTGTATCACTTCTGTAGGCCCAACACGCTTCCTTTCCTTCATGTTTTTCGTAAGGCACCAAGATAAATGTTTATTTTGGATTCCTGGGAAACAGTCTGCCTTTCCCATTACCTCAACCTGAACGGAACACAGCGTGGACTCAAATGCAGGGACCGAAGAAATTAAAAAGCAGAAATTTTCTCCTTAAACGATGAAGGGAAAATTATCAACAGGGTGCCAGAAACAGCCAGAATGTTACCTGTCTTGAATTTAGCCTCGTTAAAGCAATTAGCACAAATGTGGATCCTTCACAAGACATTCACTTCCAGCATCCGTGCTGCTGAGGGTATGGGAAATGCCTGGCATCCATGGAGTTAAAGAGGTGGCATGGCTTCCCCCCACTCACCCTGCTTGAAAAATTCACTTCCAGGAACAGCATTTGATTACTTTTATATAGCTTCTCCTTTGTTTCCATTCTTTAAATTAACAGTTTTTAAATATGAAACAAATTACAACAAGCATCCATCAAGCAGTTAATAGTTTCTACAGCCCCTTTTAACTATTGTATTATGTCCCATTATGGAAACAGACCCCAGTAATCATAGTTTTATGGAGCTATACCATTTCCCTTCCACCTCTTACTACAGTTAGGATAGGACAGAAACTTCATTTTGGACAAGTAATTTTGATACATTCAATGCAAAAATAACAGCGTGGGCTTTTTTACTGTACAAAATATTTTTTGATCATAAAGGGTGTTTTCTTTTCCTGGTTTTTACAGAGCCTGCATTTTAAGTATATGGTAACTATCCACTAGGGATCACTGTAAGAAAGTCCTCCACAGTAACAGAGGGGAAAACAGTAAATGTTAAATCATTTCAAATGAACAGGATGCTTTTTCTGCTTATGCCAGGTATCGAGTTCAGCAGCAGGCCAAGGCAGCAGAGACACCATGTTCTGTACCATTAGACTTACCAGAGTCTGACCTGTTTCAGAGCTGCAAGACACAAAAAATAGGATGGAATTTTCAGACGTATGTAAACGTCCCACCTCAGCTCCTTGAGCTGCCTCGCCTTGCTGCAGAGAAGTCAGTTTGCTATTCACCATGCTGAGCAGAATCCTACGTGTCTGACCACACACACACCAAGATACAACTCCAGTATCAGCTCATCTGAAACGGCACACTGGGTGCCAGTCCTGCCCTGCTTTCCCTCTCTGCTCACTCTGTGGGTCCGTGGTTTTCTCTGTTGAAACAGCAGCCCCTTTTCCATTCAGAATGAATTGTAACACGTGTTCCTTGAGTTAGCCAACTGCTTTCACACCAGACTATGGCCC